GCGTACATTTGCTTAAAAAATAAACAATTAAATCAACAACAAAATATTTTAGTAGGTAACGCGTAACACAAACAGAATTTTGACAATACATAAATTCTTCATCTTCAGACCGAGGGTTTTAAACCTTTTTAATGATATAAAATCGATTTTTACGATTGTTGAAGACGAGATAACATATTGCTAGGAACGATTCTCATATGCATATAAGCTGTTTCAAAAATTTATATTGAACTATTCCCAATCAAGGGAAATCATATCTGAAAAGAGCTTGCAGATTCGAAATATTAAAGTGGAAGATAATGAAACTAATAAATAATTCGCCGTGCCTTATTTAGAAACAAATATACAAGCATGCAGAATATACGACGTATATTACTAAAAAAAAGAAGAAAATTTAGCAATACTCGCTCTTTATCTCAATATTTTAATTAAATTATTTTAATTTAACTACATTTCTTTAATTTTGTGATTTAGGCTTAAAAATTGAATTTTTTAAGCAGTTTGTTCATGCAAACTATTTGAGTCTATATTCGGGTGTGAGCCTTATTGAAAATGTGCACTGTAAATTATTACCGATAAAAGAGTTTATGCATTTTAGGTAGTTTGAAAAGGATATACATCTTTTTTCTTTCATTTGCCACCCAATTTCATTTGCTCAATCCAAGAATTATTAAAATAAATAACTGTTTCTTTTGTTTAAAATGTGGGAAAAAAGTATTTCCCGAATAATGAGATAATTTTAACTACAATTTTCAGATTTAGTAAGTAAAATTGAGTAAGAAAAAAGATGAGCCCAACGATTTCTAGGTATTCCCCAAATCGCTTAAAATACATAGACTCATTTAGACGTTTTTAATTGATGTGATATTCTGACGAGACAATAATATTAAAATTTATTAATTTTATGAGGGGTTTGATGAGATTTTACGCGCGACTATGAAATCGTATTAACATTAATACAAACGCTTGAAAATGCGAGAAATTTCTCATTATGCTGGGAACGACAAGATACGAGGCCGGCTCATCATTGATCTTTCGAATTCTGTGAGATCTGCCCTTGGCCAGCCTTAGCGTCGAGAATTCTACTTATATTCAATAGACGCCTGCGTGCGATTTACATGCTCAGCATCGTTATGTGATGCGATTCTTTATCGCATAAACGAGATATAAGTTCCAGTCTTTCTCGTAGGTATGTATTCATATACATAGAATTTTTCATATATCTAAAATTTTTTTTGAAAGATACTGAAATATAGAAATCCCACGCTATTTGTATCATTTAGTAGAACGACGCCGAATGACTGTAACGTTTCTGTTCGGGCAGCAGATGTAACAATATTCACCAATAGTTTTTCTAGCAATCCTTTCTAGCAATGGTTTTTCTATCAATCCTTTTCAGCAATCTTTTAATAAAGCAATTATAATACACTATATACATCTATCTACGAGAGTGAATGAGAAAAAGAAGAGAGAGAGAGAGAGAGAGAGAAAACAGCTTTTTAACCATCAATCTTACGCTTCTCTATCTCTCATTGTATTGAAACCAAAATTTTCACATAAAGAAAGAGATATAACAAAAATCATCGATAATACAACGAGATTTACAAACAAAATAATACATATTAGTATCCTATTTTAAAACTGCCGTGTTACCTGCGTTGAAGCCTCTTTTCCCCAATGTTTAAAAATTCATATCTTCCAGAAAAATAAAGATATAAACTTCTTTCTGGGCTCATCTTAAAGATGAATTATGTGGCTATTTTCTAAAAAAATCGTGATTTTATTTAAAAATGGCGGTTTCAATATGGCCGATTAAAAACGTCATTTTGTTGAAAATTGACTGAGTCGACAAGGCACACAGGGGATA